TGGAGAAGGAAGCCTAAGAACACTATTCTGGTCAGCCTCCAAGAAAAGCCACGTTCAAAATTTAGGTATCTAGGGCAATGTGCCCTTAGACATAGTATATATAGCCAAAACTCATTAAAACACGCAGTATTAGCTTAAATTGCTACGCTTATCATTTTAATCCCAAACTTTCGAATATGAAACTACACATTTTTCCAAGAATTATCATATTTTTATTATATTTTTCCGATCACCTTTCCGGTACGCGTTTTTCAAAGTCAGTACCGGTTTCTAGCACCAGTTCTCATTATTTGAACTTGAAACTCGTTTTACAAGTCCTACATATTGTTCTAGTAATTATCATGCACTTATTATAATTTTTCGGGATACTTTTTCGGTACGCATCTATACCGACTAGCAGAACCGGTATCTGCACTTTTCTTCCGAAAAGCGACTTTCAGCATTCTTAATCACTTACCATAATTATTAAAGCCTCTTAATAATTATTAGAGTCAATTATGGAATCATTTCCTATTTTCACATAATTTATTAATTAAATACATTAATTAACGGTGCGGGTTCTTACCCTTTCAAGATTTGGAGGCATTATCTATTTGGTATGCAGTTTGCCGTGTTCAGTGACCACAAGATTTTGAAGTACTTGTTTGATTAGAAGGAGCTGAACATGAGGCAAAGGACATGGATGGAGTTTCTGAAGGATTACGACTTTGAGTTGAAGTACCATCCTGGCAAGGCCAATGTGGTAGCTGATGCTTTGAGTCAGAAATCCGTGAGTCTATCCAGTTTATCGATAGGTGACTTTGATGTTATTGAGAAGTTTCGAGACCTGACGGTGATTTCCTTGTTTGGGGGTGCACTTCTCGAGATGGAAACTGTGAGAGTCAAGAATGAATTTATGGAGAAAATCCAAGATGCGCAAGTGCAGATAGAGTGCCTGGACTACATGAAGAACCAAGACGGTGTGTCTTGGAATGAGGATGGACTTTTGTTGTTCCAGAAGAGGATTGTGGTTCCTCGAGGTCCTTTTATGGCAGAGGCCCATAAGGGCCAGTTCACGGTTCACCCTGGTGCTACAGAGATGTATCAAGACTTGAAGAGAAATTTCTGGTGGCCGGGCATGAAGAAGGACATAGCTGTGTATGTGTCTAAGTGTTTGATTTGGCAGAAGGTGAAGATAGAACACCAGAAGCCATCTGATAAGCTTCAACCTCTAGAGATTCCGGAATGAAAATGGGACAGCATTTCCATGGACTTCGTGGTGGGTTTGTCGAAGACTCAGGTTGGCTGCGACTCTATCTGGGTCATTGTGGACAGACTGACGAAGTCTGCCTATTTTCTTCCAATGAAGGTGAGCTTCACTACTGAGCAGTTGGCCAGACTTTATGTTCGCGAGATTGTGCGGCTTCACGGGGTGCCCAAGAGTATCATCAGTGATAGGGACCCGAAGTTCACATCTCGATTCTGGGAGGCGCTGCAGGGAGCTTTTGGTACTCAGTTGAGATTGAGTACAGTCTATCACCCTCAGACTGACGGACAGACTGAGCGGACCATCCAGACCTTGGAGGACATGTTGAGGGCTTGCACTTTGGAGCAAGGTTCAGCATGGGATAGGTACCTGTCATTGGTTGAGTTTTCGTATAACAACAGTTTCTATGCTAGCTGGGCATGGCACCCTACGAGACGTTGTATGGTAGGAGGTGTCGGACTCTTACCTGCTGGTCTGAGGTTGGAGATAAGGAGTTGTTTGGCTTGGACCTTGTCCACGATACTACCCAGCAGATCCAAATGATAAGAGAAAAAGCTGAAGCAGGCGCAGAATCGCCAGAAGAGCTACTACGATGTCAAGCATCGTCCACTGGAGTTCAGTGAGGGTGAGCACGTGTTTGTGAGACTTTCACCTGTCACCGGTGTTGGTTGGGCCCTCAGAGTGAGAAAGTTGAGCCCGAGATTCATTGGGCCATACTAGATCCTTGGTAGTGTAGGACCAGTTGCCTACCGGCTAGCCTTGCCTCCGAACTTGGCCAACATCCACGACGTGTTTCACGTGTCTTAGCTTCGAAAGTACATAGCAGATCCATCACACGTGGTGCAACCGGATGATGTGGAAGTTCGGAAGGACTTGAAAACTCCCGTCGGACCACTCAAGATTCTCGATCGTGGCGAGAAGAAGCTGAGGAGCAAGATCATTCTGATGGTCAAAGTGCAATAGACTGGAAGAACTCCTGAGGAGTATACTTGGAAGCGAGAGGACGAGCTTCTCCGGCAGTATCCCGACTTCCGAGACATGTATGTTTCTGATTTTGAGAACAAAATCCTAAAAAGGTGGGGTGAATGTAAGAACCTGCACCGTTAATTAAGGAATTTAATTAATTAAATTTGAGAATTTGGAAATAATTCCATAATTGACCCTAATAATTATGAGAAGACTTAAATAATTATGGTAAGTGATTAATAATGTTGAAAGTCGCTTTTCTGACGAAAAATGCAGATACCGGTTCTGCTCCTCGGTATAGATACGTATCGATGAAGTGTCCGGAAAATTATAATAAGTGCATGAATATTCCTAGAATAATATATAGGACTGTGATTTCAACTTTCAAGTTAAAATAATGAGAACTGGTGCTAGAACTGTACTGGCTATGTAAAAGCGCGTACCGAAAAGGTGCTGCGAAAAATAAAATAAAAATATGAAAAATCTTAGAAAAATGAGTAGGTTCAAAATCCTATGTTTGGGATTAAAATGTTAAGTGTAGCAATTAGCGCTAATACAGTGCGATTAAAACTTAAGTGGCCTATATAAGGCCTTGCCATATAATCCTAGGTCATTGTTTAGTGCCTTTTACGTGGGAGACCTTCAGCTGAGCAGCCCCCATCACTTCATTGTCTTCTCTTCTCCATTTTGAGACCAAGGAGCCACGTTTCTCCATGAAACCTTCTCCAAAACACCATTGTTGAGTAAGAGTTAGTCTTATGAGGGAGAGTGGGAGCCTTTTCTAGTTGTTCAACCACTGTGTGTAGGGGTTGTGGGGCTGACTTCATTGTTTGAGTTGTTGAGAGCTTGTGTCTTGTTGGTGTTGGTCCAAGAAGCCATTTTTGGTAAGAAAGAACCAACCTTTGATCATCATTTTCGTGGCTTGGCAAAGTCAGAACTTTTGGAGCTGTTGTGAGAGCTCCAAGTGCCTTATACCTCTGTTTTGAGCTTGGGTAAGCTTCACCACCTTTGATCATGAGTTTTAATGGTTAAAAGTGGAGTCTTGGCATGTTTAATGAGTTGTTTAAGTAACCAACTAGTATATGAACTTAAATGGGCTTAAAGATGCATGCTTTAACGTTTTAAAGTGTTAAAAACCAAACCTTGGAAGTGATATCTCGCGAAATACAGAAACTGCATTCTGTCGCGAAATATCCGGATATGATATCCGGATATGGGGTCTGTTGATATCTGAATATGGATATCCGGATATGCATATCTGTATATGTCCCCGACAAATATCCGGATATTCTGGGAATTTCTAGACAGTGCCTGTACTGTTCATACAGAACTGTGTTTGGGGTTTGTGGACCCTAGATTGATTAAGTTGAACTTCTGTAATGATTAAGCTAAGTCAGAATCTATGTGATTAAGGGCTTATGGCTTTGTCAGAAGCCTAAAGACATGAAACATAAAGGAAAAATGTTGTCTTTATGTCATATGCTTGTGGTGCTTGAATATTGATATGATTGCTGGTCCAAAATAAATTGAGATTCTGCTGTGTGTGGACTTTGAGCTTGGTTGGACTCTTGGCTTGGATAGTTAGCTTGCAAGGTAAGCTTTCGTGTCCTCAGTTTAGCCATTGTGTGGTTCCACCATACCCCAAGGGGGAATGGTTTATATGCATGATGTATTTACATGCTTTGATAATTGAAAATGATGTTGAGCTGTATGTGCAATTGCTTTTAATATGTATGTGTTGTTCCACTTAGACGGTATGCCTGAGTATGTGGCGTCATACAAGATGGTGACACTGTGGGTGGGTGCAAGTGGCGTCTTGCACTAGAGTGGGTAATAGACGTATTCCTGCATTTCTCTAGCCAGTAGATTAATTATAACACACATGACATAATTATCTGCTGCATTGCACTGTTTTGGAACTTATACTGTTTAACTGCTTTGGAAATTATATTGCACATGTAAGTGAGCTTGGGGTGGAAGATCCTTGAGGACCCCGTGTCTTACTGGGATTTCTGTTTAGAGATCTCACCCCACGTTTGGGAGCTTATTTCAGGTTCAGGTAACCCAGGGATTGATACCTCTAGCGGCAGGAGGTCGGAGCTTAGTTGATTGTTGTTTACCTGCTTATGCTGATTTATGCTTGGATGCTGGATCATGTCTATTACTTTATGCTTTTTGCTTCACTTTATGGATTACTGTGTTGAGACTCTGTTGGCTATGTTATTTATTTGGTGAGCATGGAGATTGTCCATGCCACATTTGATATTGTATCATTTGCTTAGACTGGGGTTGTATAAACTATCATGATATTGTCCGGACTACGTGCTGTAGATACATGACTTAGATCTCATACTTATTTATCTATTAAGGTATTTTAGTTAGCTGTCTTTTGCAATTTACATACAGGCAATCTTTTTATGAAATTGATTAAGTAATCAACTTGGTTAATTATAATGACGTCATAATTGAAAAGAAAAAGATATTCCGCATATTTTATTAAGCGTGGCTTAATAGAATGACATGTTAACAAACCGAGTATACACGGGGTGTTACACTCTTGATCTGACCTTGACTTGACCCATAAATACTTATTTTTTTTAAGTGAGTTTAAATACTGATCCACTTTTTTTGAATCAATTTTAGACCTGACATATTTTAATAATTGACTCATTAATCCAAAACTTGATCCATATCCATTTTGTGAAAAAAAAAAAAAAATGAAAAGTCACAATTGCCATTTTTGTTTTAAGGGTCTTCACCTATGATTTTAGCCATGGATCTGGAGATGGTAGATGGTGCCATGGTGGAAGGGAAGACCAAAGTTCTGTACTTCGAATCCATATCAAACCCTACTCTGACGGTGGCGAATACTCCGGAGCTCAGCAAGCTGGCCCACCGAAAGGGTTTGATGGTGGTGGTGGACAACACCTTTGCTCCAATGGTGCTTTCGCCAGCTCATCTTGGTGTTGATGTTGTCGTTCACAGTATCTCCAAGTTCATCATCGGTGAGGCCGCCATTATCGCAGGTAAACTTTGTCTTCTTTCTTTACCTATTTTTTATTCATTATATTATTGTGTTGTTAAAAATAAAATAATCAGAAGAAACTGCTTTGTATGGACCAAGAAGAGACTCCTTTTTTGATTGATGAATCCGTATTATCCATTAATGGCAGCTTTTTCTTATTCTTATCACATATCTATCTATAGTCTTTTTAGTGCCAATAATTATAATAATTAAAGACTAGTTAGCCTTCTATAACGATTCTACTAAATTACTTAAATATTCATACATAATATTAAAAATAAATAAAAAAATCTTCTATCAGTGGAATAATTAAATATCAAATTTATTATATAATTTATATATTTTAAAACAAATAAATAATTAAATTACATGAGTTTAAAAATTAAATCAATAACTATATAAAAAAAATCAAAAACAAGTTTTGAAACTAAGTTAAAAGCGGGTTAGATCAGATTTGACCCGATTTTAACATCAAGTTAGACCCACTTCAAAAATCAAGTCAAGTTAGATCTGACCCGGTTCTAAACCAATTCAAAAGAATTCAAACTGGGTCAGACCTGACTTGAATTATATTAAACTGGGTTGGGTTAAAATACCTGACCTGTACAAACCAAGTTGGATCGGGTCGACACAAAAACTCGACCCGACCTGACCCATAAACACCCTACTGTGCTCAAGAGAAAAACACGGAACAACAAGGCTGAGTTAAAGGCTAGAGATGATTTAAAGTAAGCCAAGTTAGCAATTTATAATTCTATGGTAATTTGCATAAAAATTAAAGACACAAAATATCAATATAATGAACATGCAGAAATATAAATAAATAATTAAATATATACATGCATGATATTTTTTACATATATAGTAAAAAAATTATTATAAAGTGTAGAAGTATAAATTGCAAAAATGTAAATTGTTTGAAGTATAAATTGTAAAAATATAAATTACTAAAATACAAATTGATGAAATATAAAATGTTAAAATAAATAACATAAAAGAAATCGAAATGCGATATCTCATCAAGATTGGTTAGGGGAAGAAGAGAAAAGGTAAAATAAGATTACAAAGTAATACTTCTATGGGGTTTATATTTTAGAATAAACAACGAAGTTATCATCACCTTATTATTCACTTTTATATTTCCTTGTTAAAAAAGTTTCTTACTCTAAATTTCTTTTTCTTCCTCTCCCTTTCACCAAGTAGAGTTTCGTTCAAAATATACTTTCCTTCTTTTCGAATATAGTTTCCTCCAAAATTTACTTTCCTTCTTCTCAAATAGAGTTTCTTTCAAAAATTGTTCCTTTTTTTCTAAGAAGAACTTACTTTAAAATCTACTTTTTTTATTCTCGAGTATAGGTTCCCCAAAATTCCATCTGCTTCAGTCTTTTATATTTGCTCCATTTTCTAAGCAATGTCTAATGGCTCTTTTAGCCTTTATTTATAGGAAAAATATTACTATGCCAATGATAAATTTAATATTGTAATAGTAAAATATTATTGGGAAAAAAGATTCTTAATTTTGAGAAAAATGGCGCAAACAATATGCATTGGCGCGTTAGTTTGAATTTTGAAAATATTTTGTTATTCTTAATAAAATCTGAGTTGGAAACGAATTCATAATAACCCTAATAATATGAATATTAAATTAGAGGGTTATAATGAGGACCATATGGTCATAAATAGAATGAGGATGAAATTCTAAGAATTTTGATACCCATATTGAGGGTATTATGCACTGATGAATTTTTATCTGTTAAATTTGCATGCTGACGTAATAACAGTCAGTAGAATAGCTCCAAGTTAGAAAATTATAATTAGAGAGCTAATCTAATGATATAAACATCATTAATGAGATTAGGATATGATTTGATAAAGATTGATACCCATATTGGGATATTTTTGAAAAGTCATTTCTGCCGGGTATTTTGTACTGCTGCAGCAGCAACCGGTAGAATCCCAGAAGGGGAAAAAGATTAGAAAATGGAAACAAAGACCAATATATGCCTAACAAGTCATAATTAGACCAAAAATGTTAAAGTTAAGAAGATTATGAAATCCGAGTACAGTTAAGAACACCGATAAAGACTACAGTGCAATTAAACAACTGCTAGTGAATCTGTGATCTACTAATTAAATTTTTGAGTTATGGACATGATAATTAGACAAAATTAATGTTAAGTGCTTAAAGTTAGAGTCTTGGGAATTTTTGGATAAAAATTTGACGACGGATCAGTTAAAAATTACACCGGATCTCACTAAAGGACGAATGGTCACTTAGTGACATGGCACCCTCACATTAGGGCGCCCTCTCCCTTGGCTGATCAGAAACAGCAGCGCCTCCCTCACCATTCTCTCTCTAAATTTAAAATTTTGAAAACTCTCTACTTCTCTCTAAGATTCCTCCACCAAAACCTCTCCAAAACACAAAATCTCCTTCATCAAAGTTGTTCCTCTCACTCTCATCTTCACCACCATACCATTTTTATGGTGTGAAGCCAAAATTTTGTAGCCCTTAGCACCATGTACAGCCACGGTTTTGGGTGTTTTTCAAGGGTTTGAGTTGTGTTCTTAAGCTTTCTTGAAGAATCACACTTGGTTGCTTGATTCTTGTGATTTGTGGGTAAGTTCTCTTGATCTTTTTCATGAAAAACCTCATCTTTCTTCTTGTGTTCTTGAGCCTAACTCATGAGCATGTTCATGAAGATTTGTCCTTGCTTAAATGAGGGTTCTTGGTGGAAAAAGGTGGAGCCTTGAGCTAAAGGAGGAACCTTGAAGATGTAAGCTTCCATGGAGCAAAATAACTCAAAAGTCTTCCCTTTTATGCCTAAGTGTGCCACAGTTTTGTGATGTTATTAAGGAATATTGTTTAAAAAAAAAATTATGTCATGGTTTGATGATGATCCTTAAGTGTGTGTGTGTGTGTGTGTGTGTGTGTGTGTTGTGAACCATGAAATGATGGATTGGATGGCTAAAGGTGCCACCTTTGAACTTTTGAGTGATGTTCATGTAAAAAGAGGACTATGAACTCTAAAATGGACCATGAACATTTCGGCCATATCATGTAAGGATAGGGTTTGATGACAAAAAAATGTGATTAAGTTGTTAAGTATGGAAAAATGATTAGAAAGATTAACTAGGTAGGTTAACTCTAAGTAAAACTCACTAATAATGATTAATAAAGGCTAAAACCTCTAATTAAAATAGCTCATCAAGTCTGCCCCATAAAGTATATAAGGGTTTAGTTATGTTAAAATTAAGAAGATGATGAATTAGGAGATTAATTAAGAGTAGAGATTAATTAACAAAAGTAATTAGGATTTAACTCTAAAATTGGACTAAAGTAGGGTTTAGGTACACTAATTAAGTAACTAGTAAACTTTAAGTATCATGACATAATAGGACAAAGAAGATTTCATAATATGACTTAATAATTGAAAAATCCAAGAATTAATGTGAATTAGGATTTATAATCAAAAGCAATTAAGGTTTGTTAAGTAAACACATTTAAGGCTAAGTAACCAGTTTTTAGGCAAAATAGGGGAGAGCATATCTCCCTCCACAGAGGTCATATAGGGTTTTGCTTTATATCAAATTGAAGCTTGAGATGTTAGCTATGTGGTGTCAAAATTTGATATCAATTTAAGATGTATTACATTCTGTATGTTCGTTTGAGTGAGGACTGCACAGAAATGCCATGTGCAGGGGCTGTACATGGCTGCAACTTCTACAAATTGTTTCCCTCAATTCTTACTCCAATTAGGCTCATAATATGTCGAATTAAAGCTAAAGGTGTTTAGTTGTTTGCATAAAAATTTGAGAGGAATTAGGTTATTAGATTTTTCAGAATCGCAGAAATGGTAAAGGATGTTTAGGGCTCTGTTCGGAGTTGGCAAACAGCTTTGTTTGTCCAACTTCAAATGATGATAACCGGAGCTAGAGAACTCCAAATGAGGCGCGTGATACCTTGTTGGAAAGGTAACTGAGTCTAGATTAATATACTAAAAGTTAAGAATTTTATAACAAGTTATTTGCGCTGAGTGACTAGAAAACATAAGCAGGTACAGTTACGGGAAAACCGTAAAATGACATTTAAGCTAAGTGGGCTTATGGGAACCCTTAGTAACTTATAATAATTAATTATATGACTTGGATGAGTTGAAAATAATCTAAGTTACCTAAGTGAGCCTAGAACAGGATTCTAAGTTATGTAAGTAATTAAAGAATGTGGTGGCTTATAATAATGCACAAAAATAAATAATAAGTAATAATTAGTCTAGACTTGTGATGGGCATATTATTGGCATGTAAGAATGTAATGTGGAATCATTAAGTGATTGAGTATTAATAATGTAAACGATTCCTGCTCTAGGTTTGCTTAGAGAGCTTGTCACTTGAGAGTGTACGGGAGTATACGTATTGACTGTTGGAGTTGGGCTGTTGATAAGCTCTGTGAAGTAAGCTCCTAGTTCTAGTTGACTCTTCTCTCTTGTAGCCCCACCATGATGGTGGGCATTATGGTTGTATTGTATGAAAGTATATGGTATGATTTATATGTGCATTCATTCACATTCATATAGATGTTATATGATCTTGATGTTATGATGATGCACTGATGATATATGTTATGAGGATCCTGGCCAGTGATCAAGGTATGTAGGCTGCCTATGACTTGACTCTGGGAGCTATTTCTTACTGAGGTTGTATTGACTGCCTATGACTTGACTCTGAGAGCTATTTCATACTGAGGTTGTATTGACTATCTATGGCTTGACCTTGGAAGTCACACATGTGTAACCGTCTATGGCTTGACCCTGGGGTTACACAAGGATGATATGATGATGCTATGTTTGTATTATATGCTTTATATCTGACTTCTGGAAAGCACAGACACACATTTTTTTTAAAATTTGCGTGTCGGACACATGTCCGACACGGACATGTTCAGACACGCTTGGACACGCGGTCAACATTTGGGGACACGCGATCAACTCTCCGACACGTTCTGACATGTTTTTTCGACACGCAGTCAACTTTTTCCGACACGCGGTCAACGCTCGGACACATTTTCGGACACGCTCGGACACGTTTTTTTTTTAATCTTAATTTTATTTTGTTAACTAAATATAAAAGAAATGATTTATAAATTAATTTTTTTCTATTATGAAATTTGACATAAAAATTAACAAAGTACGAAAAATTATTTATATTTATATTTATGTTATGAAATTTAAATATTTGATTGGTTATATGACTTATTATGGACTCTTATATGTATTAAATATAAATTATATTATATATATTAAAAATTTTATTTAATATCAAAACGTGTCCCAACGTGTCGAAATATGACATTTTTTAGAATTAACGTGTCGGCGTGTCGTGTCCCGTGTCCGTGTCTGTGCATCATAGTCTGACTTGTCATTCAGGAAGTGGGCTCAGGAGTTAGAGGATCCTCTATGAACCTTGAGCTTACTGAGATGTTGTTATCTCATCCCGTTTGGGGACATCATTTCAGGTACCCAGAGTAATGGTGACGCTTCTAGGGGCAAGGCCCCCACATTGGAGTCATCGGCGGACCCACTTTGTTGCATGTGTCTACAAGTGCAGACACAGATTTTGGAGAGAAAAAAATTAACTACTCTTCATGAACCTGACACTGTGTAAAGCATGTAATGCAGATGAATGCATGAAATGTGAACAATTGAATTTCATAATTTGTGGAATTTAAAGAAGGATTTAATATTACATAAAAAAGAAGGGTTTAATTACTTTGATATTTTTGGTACAATAAAAGATTGTCAGACCATTGAAGTGATGTGAAACATTGAATTTAATTATTGGAGGAAAATATTACTCTCATTTTACATGAAATAATTATCTCATGTTATCTCACTTTGAAAATCTCACTCTTTTTTTTTCTTTAATGATGGGTCCCACGTGACTTTTCTCTGTTATATTTTATATCAAAATAATAATAAAAAATGAGGTAAGATTATTTTGCATATAATTATCATTTATAACTGTAGATCTCAAAATTCTGAATATTGAGAATAGAAAAAATAACAATAGAAAAATCATCATGACTCTTGATTGCTATTTTTTTTATATTATATTGAAGTTTTATTTTACTCTTTTCTTGTTTTTATTTTTTATTTTTTAATACATTTAAAAATTTAAAAAAAAAAATCTGGGTGCGCTGTCCCCGAACCCCGTAACCAAATATGATAAATAAAAATTTCTAGGTCCGCTACTGATTGGAGTAGTTGATGATGCAGCTGATGATTTTATATTATATTTAGATTTGATGTTGGCATGTAGACTTGTTAACATGCTTAATTATTTTATGGAGATTATTTTATGTATTTATTTAGCCTCATGATTGTATTCTTAGAGCCATGGATTATTTACTGATGCTTTTATACTTTGAATTAATATAGACTTGATGCATGTATTCAGTTAATTTGGGCATTGAGTCTTATTATTTGTATTGACCCATTGAGTGGATTGCAGTTCGTGTGGGACTTGTAAGCTATATGTTTAAATTATTGTATCAATTAGGTGATCTGTATGTGTGGGACCATGTTTCCAGTTATCCGAAATACAGCTGTTATGTTGTCCGTGAGACTCCGTCAGGAATGACACTTGATGTCATATCTTGATGGTCAATGGCCACTAATACTGGCTCATGGGATTAATTAGTAGATGTATGTTTAGATTTACGCTTTCGCAGTATCTCACGTGGACGTTTTTAGAAATGTTTTCAGAAAATGTTTTGGAAAAAATTTACTCGTATTTTTGTAAAACGCTTTATTATTCTTTTAAAATAAAGTCTTTCGTTGTGTAGGCCAAATATCATGTATGTTAACAACCGGAGTACTACGGGGTATTACAGAATTTCCTTCCTAGATTATTTACCAATTACTAGGTGCCTAACCTTAATTTGTATTAATTACGTTTTATCTTTAAAATAATATTACGATGATTAATCTAAATTAAAAATAAAATAAGAATTATATTAAAAATAAAATAAAAGTACACACAATATATATATATATATATAAAAGTGAATCGTATGTATTTAAATTATATTTATATATATATAATGTATTTAAATTATATATATATATATATATATATATATATATATATATATATATATGTAATCACAATGTATTTAAATGATAAATTTTAAATCATATGAAGTTAATTAAATAATGTAATGCAAAACCACATCAAGTTAAAGTGAGTTTTCAGTTCCACACCAAAAAAAAAAAAAAAGTGAAGCTTTCCTACCTCTAGATTACCAGGAAAAAGAATGAACTTAAACTTAATATTAATTACGCTTTGTCCTTACAATATTATAGTGGTGTGTGCTCTATATTAAAAATAAAATAACAACAATATAAAAAATTAAACAAAAAGTAAACATAAATATTCATTTTACTAATCAAAAATTGCAGTTGAATAAGTGAATTTTGTTTAAATTTGTATTAGAAGGTAAAAGAGAGAAAAGAAAAAATATTAATTTCATTGATTGTGGTGAATTAATTTGTACAATAAGTGAGCTCTTATATAAAAGAGCATAACAGAAAAGAGAGAGATATAAAATATCTAATAGACTAAACTACCCTTATACCTAATATCTAATACTCCCCCTCAAGATGGAGAGTGAACAAAGAGAACTTCCATCTTGAACAAGAAAAATCAAGAAAACATAATAACCAAATAACATGATCATCAGCTAATGAAGAAATAGTGCTGGAATGGACATCAGCTATAATGTGCTAGAATGGACATCAGCTATAATGTGCTGGAATGGACACCAGCAAAGGAAGGAAGGGCTGGGATGGACATCAGCAACCTAATATGAACTGCCGGGATGGACATCGGCAAAATCAACTGTTCTGGAATGAAATTCAGCAACATGATCAATGCTCCCCCTGAATAAGAAGCAAAAATAAAGCCAAAACAATGGCAAAACCAAATACAAGCCAACACAGTACAGAAAAATAAATAATTACATAATGAAAAATCCACCAAAAACTACAATGATATATTGCAATAAAATCCATGAGCTCCATAAATCTTCACAAACCTGCAAAATGAGAAGTGAAAGAGACAAGTAGACAGATCTAAAAATATATCAGCAAGCAACCCAGATTGACAAAGGTGGAAGACGACTAACAAGAGAATGAAAAAATGAAATGAAAAAAAATAAAAAATAAATAGGAAATGCAGATAATAAAAAAAACAGAACGAGAAGGAAACTGAACAACAGTATTTGGTCCAACAAACTCGAACAGTAGTGAAGGAGACGCGACCGGAATGAAAAGCGTTGATGACAAATCTGGAAGAAAAGGAGAGATCTGGGCAGAGGATGAACGTGCCGCCATACACGGCAGAGAGGGTTGCCGGAGAAGATGACCCACAACAAATGACAAAGAGAAGAACACAGATCTGGGTGGATGGAACGCCACAGATCTGGGAACGCTAGTAGAGAGATATGGAAAACGCATGGATATTTGGCATAACCAGAGCAGACTGGAGAGACAGACCAAACGCCGGAAAACATGCACGACCAAAAGTTGCCAAAAAAGCTGATCGAGACAGGAGAAGACCCAGCCGGAAAAGGAAGCACGGCCTAACCATAGCCAGAAGAAGGAGATGCCAGAAAAATAAACAAACCACATCTGAGAAGGTGAAAAATGAACCAGATCTGTGAAATCTAGAGGAGAGGAAGCCGGGAAGGTGGAAAGAAAAGGAACGAACCAAAAAAAATTGAATCAGATAGGGGAAAAAAATGACGACCCGAAACCAAAATTAAAAAAAAAAAGATGGAGATAGAAAAAAAAATGAAGGAGAAAGAGTAGCTCTCATGATAAAAAAAAACTCACAGATCAGGACCAGATCCAAAGAAAGGAAACAAAGAGGGAAAAAATAGTGATTGCAGCGGAATCTCCATTCATAGAGGATAAAAATGTTCTGATACCATATTAGAAGGTAAAAGAGAGAAAAGAAAAAATATTAATTTCATTGATTGTGGTGAATTAATTTGTACAATGAGTGAGCTCTTATATAAAAGAGCATAACAGAAAAGAAAGAGATCTAAAATATCTAATATACTAAACTACCCTTATACCTAATATCTAATAATTTGTTCTATGTGCGACTCATTTGTCCAACATCAATTACTAATAACCACATAGCAACAGCTTAGGATAAAGCCAACAACCTATATACTAAGATACTCATGAGCTTATTCCTCAATAGTTTATCTTCTATTGGGACTGCAATCATTAAGTAATGGATTAAGGCTCTCAAGTACACATTTTCTGAACGCTACTCTCTATTATTGTGCTCACACCCAGTGGCGGAGTCACATATGGTTTGGGTGTGGCTTGGTTCGGGCTAAATTTTAACAAATTATACTTATTATATATAATTATATAATTAATTATAATTTGCCCCGGGTTAAAATTGTAATTTGGCCCAGGTTATATATCTAAAACTTAAAATATTTTTGGTAAAAGATTTGAGTAAGTTATATTAGGTTATGTATTCAATTTTCACTTACATAAATTTTTTTTTAGTGAAATTAAAAAATATTTAATACAATTATAATTCTTCTTAATACTGTATGCTCAGGTGCTCTATATTTAATATAATTTAAATATATTATGATATGAACTAACTAAAATTAAGAAAAATAAATACACATATAATATTTTAGCCCGAACTCAAATTGGAGCCTAACTCCGCCACTGCTCACACCCCGTACTTTTTGCAAGAGGAACCTTCTACGACAAACCCAATATGCATGCAGAAGCTAGACTCCA